GAGAACAAAGAATATCACAAATAATAATATTACAAAATACAAAATATAATAGAAGATATAAAATAAGTGAAGGTTGGATTTTGAGATTTTGTGCTCTAAATGCTGGCTCCACGAAAACTAAAACTAAGGACCCTGTAAGAAATTGAAGGTTTGAACCAAAAACCATTGATTTCAGTTGAACTGAACTGTACAGTTGTAACTTAAAACTTATTGTGACTGAAGGATCAGCATGCAAGGACCATGTTGGTGGTTTGCATGTTTAACCAACTGAAATTTTGTACATTTACTGTCAGTGGATTGCTCGCAATGTCAAGGTAAATGTACAGCATTTTTGTATTAAGTTCATCTGGGCTGAACTGTGAAATGTGAATTTGTGCCAGCTGCACAATTGTCTTGTCAGTGCAGACCACAGAGTGCAGCTATTGCATGACCTACAAGTATGGTCACAATATAACCAAGCTCTCAGCTAAACCAGTTTCACAAAGATATGTGAATGAATTTCCCCAGTGCCGCTTTGTGGAGTGAAAAAGCACTAAGACGGTACATCCTGGCAAACAACACCTAAACTAGTAAGTGGGGAGTAACTTGAGAGGAGGGATCAGATGGAGCTGTTACCTGTGTTGTTGAGTCCAAACAGCAAAGGGCAGGAGATGGCAAAAGAGAGAAACCAGACCACAGCAATCATCACTGCCACCCTCCTCCTGGAACTGTATCTGGTGTTGTAGAGCATTGGCATGGCCACAGCTGTGTACCTGCAATAGTATACACACGCACACACTCCAATTTGAACACATATCAATGCAGAGTAAAGATTGTTAATGCATTTTCAGACCTTATTATCCCATCGTCATGTCCACACATATTTTAAGTAAACTAAGGCACTTGATACAGAGCGCAGAGAAACAAATTCCAAGTTTCTCCTCAAACAGACAGAAGCTGCCACTGCCTGTTTCACAGCCACAAGGACACAAAACACACATCTGCCAGTATGTCAGAAGCAATTAGAGTGTTCGGCTGTAAGCGCAGGTGTGAGTGGTCTTCTTCAGCGAGCTACTGTAATCCTGATGGCAGGCAAAGGGTCACGGACAAAAAAACAGTTACGCAAGACTACTGAAGAAACTCAGCTTTCAAAAGATTCAATGAAAATGTAAGAGCTGCAGTCTATGGATGTTGGAGGCGCTGTACTTCAGTGTTTCTAAAAAGTACAGGAGGAAGGAATATATTTCAGCTGTGAAAGACTGCTGTAGGAATTACACAGGACAATAAATTGACTTTTTTGGTCTAAATGTATATGTTTCTATTTTGTAGCTGTATGCAGTGGCTTCTAGAGGACAAAAGGACAATACTGCATTTTAACTGAATTTAGTTACAATATTTTTTATGTTGAATTTGTGTAAAACATGACAAAGAAGAAACTGTGCATGATTGCCTTGCCTTGCCTTGCCATACCTAAAAGAGAGCTCTGTGGAGAGAACATTTGTCAATTAGCACTAAACACAAAGACAACTGAGACTGATGGGAATATCAATAGTTTCTTGGTGTTTAACCAAAGTAGCATGTTTAAACAAACTGAATTTTTTAACGATCATGGCAATCCATCCAATAGTTGACATATTTCACTGAAAACCACAAATGTCAATCTCATGGTGGCGCTAGAGGAAATGTCAGGGGTTCATTTAAGTCATTAGGATTAATCTCCGTCTCCGAAATCACTTCATGGCAATCCGTTCAATAGTTATTAAGATATTTAGGTCTGGGCCAGAGGAGTGACATTGCTATCCCTAGCAGTGTTGCCAATATTTTCAATGGAAAGTGGCTAAAACAGCTTGAAACTACAAGATTAAAAAAAAAAAAAAATTATGAGGTGGAGCTAAACTTAACTGACTCTAAGTAGCTTTATCATTAGCTCTAATTTCAAAAACTGGTGTGTCATAAATAAAAAGGACTCTCTATTTTGAAAGAAATAAAAGTTAAATAGTCAAGTGAAATCAGTGACAACAAAAACCAAGAAACAGGAGAACAATGGGGATCAGTGATTGGTCGTGCGGCCACTCTCCCCCACTCCCTAAACATCGTCAGTCCAGAGAGACACAGACACACAGTAGCAAATTCACTGAGAAATATTGGAGACTCTTCAAAGGAGATGAGTTTAGGTCGTCCCAAGAAGTCGGTACATTTGAGGGGTCTTAAAAGTCATCTAATCTAGCAATACATTTCCTCAGTTAGCAACACTGATCCCTACAGCCATGCTGTCAGCATGGCTAAAAATCATCAGCAGTAATTATACAGTAGACATTTAATATGATGTCTTTATTTGGGTTTATGCTAATTTATCCAATTACTTTCTATCAATCACAATTGGAACACTATAAAAAGGGCTACGACTCATTCACTGCTGATCTGATGTGGATGTAAGTACCCTCAAATTAAAGTCGTCAGCACTTTAACCTTGTAGTCACAGTTTCACAAATTACTGGGGCATGACACCAAAAACATCTTTCCGATTGCATCGTCTACAGCTTCGACAAAGCAATTAGACTTGATCCTCAGCCATTGCGCCAGATTACACAAGTCCAAAGTGGTACAGCCTCAATGTGTCACTTTGTCAAAGAGTAATTCGGGCGCAGCTGCAGACGACCTGCCCGCTGGGTGTCTGGTCACCTCCCCCAGGACCCACGGAGAGGGCATCCGGTGAAACAGCAAATCATCGAACACACAGTCTCCTTGATCCAGAGAACAAACACTAATGATTGCAGAGGACATCGCAGAAGACACAGCGGAAGCCATTACCTGCTGAAAGACAAACAGTGCCGCTGCTCCGAGTCAGCCGGATAATGGATGCATGTTTAAAGTTTATAGTGGACGTGTGTGTGTGTGTGTGTGTGTTTTACTGCAGGCGTGTGTGTTGCCAGCTCTTTATTTAGCGAAACCTGTACCAATCGAGATGAAGGTTAGGGGAGAGTACAAAGTAAAGAAATGACATATTGATTCACTGTCATCTTTGTTATTTTGGTCTTCCTTACGGATAAAAAGCACAGTGAAATTATTTATCATCAACTAACTTCTTCTCTTGCTGAAAGGCAGTTCAGGAGAGAGAAGTAAATTGTAAGAAAAGAGAGAAAGATGATGATTTAAAAAATCCAATAAGAGGTGAAGCATCGGGAAGAAGAGGAGAGGAAGAAATACACACAGTAGAGAGCATAAACCAAAGATTAAAGTAAAAAGTAAAGTTCCACCTGTCAATGCTGATGGCACAGAGGTTGAGGATACTGGCGGTGCACATCATGACGTCCAGGGTGAGCAGGATGTCACAGTGGATGAGACTGAAGCGCCACTCTCCCACCACCTTCAACAAAACAAAGACAAACTGACATTTTGTATTTTTCAAGGACTTTCATTTCTTCCTTCATTTTTTTTTTTTTACATTTTGGCCAGTTTAATATGTTGTAACACCGGTGGGGCAGCATTAATATTAAGCAGACTGGATCACTCAGTTAATAGAGTATAGTTAATATTTAATGTGCATGATTTGCTTCTGACGTGACCCAATTTACCCATAAAGAATGTGGACATTTCATTTTGTCTCCAATATCAGAATAAAAAAAATATTGGGTTACATAAAAAAGGTGGTCTTTTCATCTATTTTGCCCACAATTAATTTTTCATTTTCTGTGAGACATTGTAATTCTCAGTTATCTGACATGATTATCTGAAAAGACTGATTATTTAAGGTTTTTGTTTTATTCAATACATTTTTTAGCACTGATTCAGTGATTATTGACATTAATAGGAGGGCGTTATTAGTAATTCAACAGGAAATTAATGAGCAACATTTTCATTAACCATTTCAGCAATTTCCTGCACAGAAAACGTTTGCTCCATCTTCCAGAATAATTTGCTGCTTTGCATTGTCTTGTGTGAAAGTAAAGTAATTATTGTTGGACTGTTTATTGGACAGAATGAGTGATCTGAATCTTTCCCTTTAGACTCTAATGCAGGCTGAAAACAGGCTGTTAGTATCAGTTTTGCAGGATTCAATTGGATAATTAGTTAATTGAACCTTGTATGTAAATGCAATGTCTTCCTGTAACCAAAACATAGTGTCAGATACAGTACATCTTCAGGTTTGCTTGTATTTCTCACACGTTGACTTTAAGTCTTTCTCTGTTATGCATTTGGGAAAGCTGTGTTGTTACAGAACTGCTCTGTTCTGAAACAATTATTCAGTTAATTATTCAATTACTTTGGGTGTTTGACTGCTGACTTGACTTTTCACTATTTTCAATAGAGGGCTACAACTACCAGTTATTTTCATTAATAATTGACCTGCTGATTATTTTCTCGACTGATTAATAACTTTGTCTAATATGTCAGCAAAGAGAAAAATGTATAATTTCCCACAGGCCAATAGGACGTATTTAGATTTGCTTGTTTTAGTCCACCAACAATCTAATACCCAAAGATATTCAGTTTACTGTCATATGTGATAAAGAGAAGAGGCTTCACATTTGAGAAGCTGAAGCCAGAGAGCGTTTGTCATTTTTTTCCTAAAACAATAAATCAATTATCAAAGTAGTCAATTCATTTACTGTTGACAGATTCTGCAGATTCAATTTATGATTACTAAATGTATTGTAACTCTATAATGATTGATCTGTAATGAAAGTAAGCTTAGTCAGTTCAACAAATTTAATTAAAATATCAATTACATTAAATTGCCATCCATAATACAAATCTGTTGCGGCTGCTCTGAAGTCTGATGTTCCTGCATTTGATTTGCATGTGTTCAGTGGAAAATGACAAGCAAATAACCCACAACATTTTTTTATCTCCTTTTAGTTTCCACCGCATCAAAATGCAGACACACACAAGAGCGCACACACACACCTCAAGGTACACGCCCCAGGGCATGACCAGCGTGGCCAGCAGCAGGTCGGACACAGCCAGCGAGACAATGAGGTAGTTGGTCGTGGTCTGCAGAGCGCGCTCCCGCGACACCGCCACGCACACCAGCACGTTACCGAACACCACGCAGAAGATCAGCAGCACCAGCAGCACGGCGTAGAAGTTGTACGGAGGAGAGGTGGCTGACGACGAGCTGGTGCAGTTGGAGGACGTCAGCGAGAAGGAGGAGGAGGTGGGGAAGGATATGGGGGAGTACGAAGGGCCATGGGTGGCAAAGACGGATAAATTGTGCTCAAGGGAGGAGAGAGGGAAGGAGGGAGGGGAGGACTCGTCTGACTCGTTGAGTAAAGTCATGATCTTGCTCCAGTGGACATGGTTGGGCTGAAAAAAAGAGAGGAAGAGAAAAATGACCCTGGGACCCTTTATGGCTCGCTGCACACTCGATTCAGCGTTTCACAATAGGTCCAACAAAGATTGGCTTCTGAGTCTGACAACAGAGAATTATAAAAAGAAAAGGTTATTGTGGCACCAGGGCAGGGATTTCGTCATTGGTCTTGCCTCTGAGAAACAACTTAGAAAGACAAACAGGACAATGCATACAAACAATACTGCACCTCACCTATATGCACACAAGTACACACAGTCAAGGTCACCTGATTTTATCTAAACCACTGACTGAAACAGAGATAAAAAGGTCTCTTAGATGTCCACAGGCTCTTTTTGGCCTCTGGTGATTTAACATTGTCTGAAAGGAAGTAACTACTGTCACTGTCTTTGTACAAATAAAATCAGTTTACCAGATAAAACTTTATCACATGGAAGTACTTCAAACAACGGACTCAAAGGACCAGTAGGATTTAGTGGCATCTAGCGGTTGCCTTTATTGCATCTAACTGAACACTGCAGGGGTCTGTATTTGACAGCCTGGGAAGGAGAATGGCTTCTGAAATGTGTAGGAGAAACTACGGTGGCAACAAAACTCGTGAAAAATGAGAAGGGCTCTATCTACAGCCAGTGTTTCGTTATTCCATCCTGGGCTGCTGTAGAAACACTGTGACCCACAGTCATTCTAAGGTAACTAAAACACTAACCAAAATTATACACTAATGAAAACATACACCGATCAGCCATGACATTATGAGCACTGACAGGTGAAGTGAATAACACTGATTATCTGCTTATCATGGCACCTGTCAGTGGGTGGGATATATTAGGCAGCAAGTGAACATCTTGTCCTCAGAGTTGATGTGTTAGAAGCAGGAAAAATGAGCAGCGTGAGGATAAGGAGAAGGGACACATTGTAAGATGATTGGGTCAGAGCATCTCCAAAACTGCAGCTCTTGTCGGGTGTTCCCGGTCTGCAGTGGTCAGTACCATCAAAAGTCCAAGGAAGGAAAAGCGGTGAACCGGAGACAGGGTCATGGGCGGCCGAGGCTCACTGATACACGTGGGAATGAAGGCTCGATCCAACAGACGAGCTACTGATTGAAAGGTGTTGATGTTGTCATTAAAGAAGCCCTGTGATGTTTTCTTAGAATCGTACAAACGCATTCTTTGTATCTTTGATATTAAAAATGTCCTTCCACATAAAACTGGAATAGCATGAAACCACTCCAATAGAAACAAAATATTGACCCATTCATGAAAACCTTGCTCCATAGCTCCACCAGTTGTTAGAAACTCCAAAGGGCCCCTTTAACCTGTGCCCCTCTGTACTTGTTTTTTCATTACTGTTATTGATTGCTGTGCTCTTTTGTGTTTATTATTCACTGACTGACCAAATTGTCCCTCTGGGACATTAAAGTCCACTCTATTCTACAGCTCATATGTGGCCATTGGTTGGAGTAGTTTTCCTGAAAGGGAAAGCAGAAGGCAGACTATCACTCATTTGTTTACCGGCCTGACAGGGTCATGCAGAAACAATGTATTTATCCACATTTGTCGAAATATAATCGTTTAAGCATCCAGATGGGCCGTGGAGAAATTGATTATTGTGTAGTGGTTGGAAAGTTCATTTGGATGTTGTTGTTTTTTTACACCATAAAAAAACACTCAATATTTGATTCTATTGGAACTATATAGCATCTGTCGTACAACCTGATCCTGTCCCAAACATAGACTCATTTACTTAACTTAACAAGTAAATTACAATTTGCTGAATTACTTTGCGACACACTTGCACATCAAATATTTTCATAGTAAGGTAAATAGGCAGCTGAGAGCAAGAGAATGAGACACAGAGGGGAGACACAGAGAAACACAATAATCCATAATTTACAATAGATCCTCTGCAGTCCAAACTTCTGCTTAAAACTCATCATTAGTAACCCGCTGTCGAAGGTTTATTCTGCAGAGACGAGACATGATGAGGGTGTATGAAAACCTTTCTTCCCCTCTCTTATCTCTCAGTTCTGATACACTCCAACAACCAGGCTGTATGATATAATGCAAAAAAATGCATCAAATATTTATCAGCGACAGGAAGTTGAAACGGACTACTGACTTGCACTATCTCTCCTATATGAACTTTCCTGTCGGTGCCAAGGTCATGAATGAATTTAGTGAGAATTTCACTGCCGTAACACCATCCACTCGAGCCACCTACATGCATCATCTGTCTCAGATACTTATAGTATCTGATCTTACTAATCAATACATATGCAAGACTAGTTGAGCCGGACAAATCAATAATCTATCCCACCTGTTGACCCCGCATAGCACCTGAAGAAGACATTATTCTCGGTGGCATTGATTTCACTCGGTTAGATATTGATTTAACTCACTTGAGGTCTTAATGTGCAGTTGCATCATTATTATGGTCGAGGTCAGTCCAATCGCTACACGGGGCAGCAGTGTGCAGGAGGGAAGGACGGGGCCAACATTCAGCTGGAGAATCTTATTTCAAGCTGCCATAAAGGCAAGTGTGTGTCTGCTGAAGAGTCCTTCAGTAAATGGTCGGGCAGCTAATGGCTAATGTTAGTTGCTTAAAAATTCAAAAACAATTAGAAAGAACTCAGAGTGGATCACGCTCTACCAAGGCTGCATAATCTTGTCAATGTCTGCTTTTAGTAAAAGAAAATGATAGAAAGCGTTAATCTGGATTTACATAAATCTACAGATAACCACAGGATTATTTTAGTATGGTCAACAAAGTTCAAATATGTCCTATACTGCAAAGACAAAAAAACATTACAAACAATCTGCACCAAACTAAATTAGAGCTGAAATGATCTGATGATCAATTAGTTGATTAATTAATCAAGTAAAAATGTGACAATGGATTTACTGTTTGAGTCATTTTCGAGCAGCTTTTCGAGCAGCTTTTCTTTTTTATATACAATAGTAATATATATGCTTGGGTTTTCCTCTGTTGGTAGGACAAAAGAAATTTGGGATGTGCCTTTCATTTTTATTTTTGCACATTTTATAGACAAAACGATGGTGGCCTTGTGAGCTCAGCACACTGAAACTTAAGAAAACACATGCAAACAGACAAAACACAAGCAAATGAAGACAACATCTTCACCAAAACAACATTTCCGTTTTCCAAAAGTTGCAAATATTTTGTCAAATTGACGTTTTCTTGAGTTGTTTGTGTTTTGTCTATTTGCATGTGCTTTCATAAGATGCAGGGATTTGAGCTCTCAGGGCTACTGTACAAAACCACTACCAAAAAAGCAAACAGATCAATAGATAATATAAATAATTGTTAGTTGCAGCTCCAAACTGAATCACTTGTTATTTTAGCAGAACTTTTAACTAAATTTCATTGAACTGTTTACTCATTTTTGAGATATCACGCTCAGTAACAATGAAGCAAACAAACACCTAAAATCTTGCCCTAAAGACAGATTACCAGCCAAGGTGACAGCTACTGAATAAACATTGTTGTGACATACTTTTGCTTTGTCTTGCTTTACAACTGCAACAAAACACAGTAAGCAGTAAGTGGAAACTCCTGAAGAACGAAGCAGAGATGTTGGATTGATGTATGAAGAATGACGAAATGTATAATGATTCCTCCCTATGAATCCCTCTACAATGACCTTGATTATCCTCATTTTCCCCCATCTTCCATCGTATATCATTGCATTTGTGCCAGCCAAGCTGTGAAAAAGCTGCTATTGTTTGTCGAAACTATTCATATGACTGTAGGACGTCCTCTAAAATGCATTAATTTTGTTGAAGGACAAAATAATAACATGCTGTAGGGAATGCCAAGGCTCGGATTCAGTGGTATTGTCCTGGAGTGGATTTACGTAACACCAGACGACTGAAAACGCACCACCTGTAAACTGCAACTGACAGTTTGTAGCCTGTCTCCTACCGACAGTCAACTTTGCCTTCTTTTAACCATAACTATGATATCCCCCTAACCTTTAAGCCCCCCTCCACTCAAAAATGTGTTTTGCTTATTGTTACCTCACTTGCGTGGTGACCTTCAGAGTGCAGAATGATGTATAAGCAGAGTGGAAAAGACTGTTTTCACATTCATCTGCTGAAGGAGGAAAGTTTCCCTGTGCTCACCTTAGTTTAACACGCGTATGTACAAAGATTATTTAATGACATCACAACAAGAGTGGAAGCCAATCATGGTCCATGCTACTTATACTAAAGTGTAAGTGGAAACATTTACTCTGCCACTGCACATACACTAATAATGGACTTTTTCAGCGAAGTAGGAGACATTGTGTGTCCCACAGTTAAACGTTTGAAATGAAAATAATTTGCATATTTACAGAATGATGTTTTTTTTAACAAGGGGGAAAGAGTAAATGTGCTTTTTGTTACATTTTTATTCAGGTAATTGACTGTTTTTGCGTAAAAATCATACCATACACAAATTGTATTATACCAAGAAGAATATTTTCATATGTCTTAAAAGTAGGTTTAGTTGCCTAAACTTAATCAAACACAGAGGTTGCAGATGAAAGAAAGCTCATATCAACTGTTCGTTGTGTTTGCTCGTGTCAGTTATATGATCAAAAAAAAAGGACTAACAAATTACCTATTTTATTAAGTATGCGGAATTGCTGATTCATTTTACAGCATCTCAATTCTATAAAAGAGATTAGACTCATTATTCATCTGAGCAACAAAACTGCTTTCGACACTACTTAATCACTTACACCTTCAAATAATAAGAACTTACAGAATTTATTTCTCATGATTAACCACCCAAATAAATAATTTTTACTGAAAGCAATATGCAAGCAGAATATAGAGTAAGAATTTTAAGAGGTTCAAACGATGAACAGGTAACCCTGTTTGGCTCTGATTGATCCTTGTATGTCCTGCTACACAACAACAGTCACACCATGGGAAGGCCATCATTAACATCCATGTATTGGTTTCTTTACAAAAACAGG